AATTTTGATAGTAAAATTCAATAATTTGCAAGCGTTGTTCATTCGTAAGTCGATTCATGGTTAAATTATAGACCAAACTGAACAAGTTTGACAATGACACAAGACACGATTCACGCGTCATCTGTCAAAAACAGTGTTGCCAAAAAGATACTAGCAAAAAAATCACCCATTAACTCAATAATGCACAGCACCAGTATCGTTCCAATGCGCTTTGTATTCCTATGAACATTTTCTCGAGCAGTTCGGGAGTTCGAATTATTTTCAAACCAAAAACTACTGAATAGCAGCTCTGTGATATGGAATTTTTTTTTGATACCAACAGCAAAATTACCATTTATTCCAGCCTGCTCTTAGAATCTACTAAGATCATTTGCAATTAAAGTCCCTTGAGTCCCTCGAACATTGGATTGTTAAACGATATCGACTAAATTCTCACAAGGTCCTCAGTATTAGAAAAAGTCCTTCGTAGCCTGGCAGATATCTCAGCTTCGTCAATAATTACCTTAAATTCCCTTTAGCAAGCGTCCCGGTCGAATGGTGGGCCTTTGCTGGAAATTTCTGAGGACCTCATTAAAAATTCACAGTCCACTGGCGACAAGAACCGATATCTGACTTTACAAAGCACTCGACGTCGAATCAGATCCACGATAATAAAGACTAATAAAGTGGAAATGACGAGGAAAGTTTTCTGTGTAATAAATTAAGAAGGTACAGCTCCTGCAGATGGTGTAAGCTATGCTCCGGTAACTTCAAACAGTGAAGTGTAGTAAACGTATTCAAGAAGGTGTATCGCCAAGGGCGCTCTCAAGAGGGGTTGATTAGACATCGCCAAGACGAAAGCCTTTTGTATATTCTCATAGCCTGTCAATACTAAAAAAGTTTAAGAGCATGCATACTACGTTATCTCAGAGGGGTGTTACGGGTTTAATTTGAAATCATACTCTTACCTCAGAAAGGTGCTATCGTGGTCCGTGGGATCAGCCCTAAACTTTGTCCAAACCTTGTAGGAACTGCCGTGACCCTGCAATAATCGTAAACACTAAACAAGGGTAGACATATTTCTAGTTTAACTACCTGAAGATTTTCTCTATGGTTTATACGTAACTCTCCACCTATTATCTCATTTTGTAGTTGAGGCCCCTTCATCTGAGAATTGTTTACGTCTTCGTTTCTTTCCTAACCTCAATGTTACATTTTCACAAGTGTTCGGTCCTTTCAGACCGGGAACAGTCCGCTGTTCCATTGCTCCATTGCTCCTCTCGAACATTGAGTTCCGTGTCCAAATTGAAGAAACTTCACTTTTTGGTCGTAGCTCTGTTGAGAAGCACGCATTTTGCGGATCTTTACGCCAAATGAAGTCTAAGCGTTCTTCCTTTTTATGTCTCATATAATCCTACGGGGTTGTGGGAGACGGGAGTTTTCGACGCTTTTACGGCATTCTAGCCGACACTTTTAGGCCACACTCCAACAGAGGTAAGCAATTCGGCTTGCGTTAAAATGGAACCCGGCGCCATATTAGATTTTTGTTTCAGGCCTTTTCCATCTTCTTCCAACTTTTTCATCTTCTTCCAACTTTTCGTCTTCTCTACCTTACGTTTTCTCCACCAAACTACTGCTGATACCTTCAGATGAAGCCCTGACGGCTTTTCCACGCCCTGCCCTGTAATGAGAGTTCCAAGCAGCCCCTGAGGAAGGGAGCTGATTCAGCTGTTGCCAATGTCCACAGACGCCATGTGCTGAAACCCCGTCGAACTGCATCTATATACTTAAGCAGCTAATTTCACTTAATACGAATTATTTATCCTAACTTCACAGCTGGTGTGATCCTGAGGTATGCATACCCCCGGAAACTTGTTAAGTCACTAATGGTCATTTTCATTTGTTGTTAGGTGATCGATTAACCATTGCAAAGTGAAATTTTGAGCTTACTGTGATCATTAGGAATACTCGAAAATCCTGTCATAGCACCCTTCAGGTAGTTTGTTGCAAACCTTGTCATAGCACCCTTCAGGTAGTTTGTTGCAAACTTTGTAATAGCACCCTTCAGGTGATTTATTAAAAATAGTTAAATAGATTTTGGGCAGGCTCTGGAAATTGGCAATCTTTTCATTTCCCCCAGCGCCCTAGTCCTCCAAATCAACAACCACTTCGAACCCCAGAAGTAACATTCATCGTGCAGGGAAGTGCATCTACAACCACCCCCCCTGGTACGAGGGTAACAGGGGGACAAACTTTCAAAATCTAAAACATTATTTTAATGCTTTCAAAACACGGTACTGGACCTTGTCGGACAAGAAACGTGCTAATGCTTGATCTGGCACGAACGCACCCGTTACTACCGAGAGTACAAGGCCAAACAACTGGGGTCTGAAAAGCCTGTGATGTCACGCAGAGTAGGCCTATGCATGTTCTTATGGAGTTTCGCCATGTCTGGCTGGCAAGAGAACCGCGTCACCATTTATCTGGGGTGTTGTCATATCTAGGTTTGATATAGCAGTATCGAAATCTCTACTAATTAGTTGTACCTCTCTGTGGGCGAATTTGCAAGATGTACTCGGGGCCTGCGCAGCTTCAGTGATGATGTGATTATTCTTTCTGATCTGCCTCAGCATGTCAAGAATACATTTTCGATATTACGTTCAACCTGTCACTTGTGAAGTCTAATATTCCATTCAAAATTGGAAGATGTGGCTACCTTGCCAACCAACCTCACATACTTGATAGAAGACAACTTTATTTCTTACATGCCATCACCTTATACCATAAGTATTGTAATAAAAAGAAAAAATCCTATAAACACGAGCATAACACACGATTTCGAATAGGCTTATCTAATATCCAAAGACCACACAAAACATTATTCAAAAAATCATTTGAATTCTTAGCAGCTAAATGTAGTAGCTGTAGTAGCTAATGTAGTACCAAACGAAATAAAGATACTTAATTTTGGAAAAAAATTTAGAAGAAAATTGAAAGACTGGGTTAGTAATGTGCAGCGAATGACTATACATAATTATATAGAAAACTAAAATTACAAAATTCCAATTATATTAATACATTTTAGATTTAACAATAATTGTTATACACATATATGATTGATTGTTAGTTATTAAGATATAAACCACACACAGGCAATGCCTTCTGTGGTTTTTTCATATTTATTTGCCCATTTTTTGTATTTTGGCGAATAAATATTATTATTATTATTATTATTATTATTCTGAGCCTCTATTCTATGCTATGTAAACTCAAATTTATTGATGTTTTAAACTTATATTTGTGTCTCGCGATTGTTTAGCTAAGTTTTCAAAATGCCTTACAAGTGCTGCGTTCCTAATTGTGTCGGTAATTACGGGAAGGGTCCGAAGGTACACGTATTTTCGTTTCTATTGAACGAAAACTGTCGTAAAAGATGGCTCAATGCAATCCCTCGTAGTGATTTAGTGGTTACAAAATACACCTGAGTATGTAATTTGCACTTTGCTGAGGACAGCATCATTTGGGAATCCACCTTCCATGACGAAAAGACAGGTAGAACCATTACTGTACCCCTTAAGTATTCAAAATTAAAGGCAGATGTAATTCCAAGTATCTTTGCAAATTGTCCAAAATACTTTTCAAAGGACATATCAAGAAGAAGAAGCCGAGATGAGAAATTGAGGGACAAGGAACAAGAACAACTACTTAAAGCACTGCAAACTAGCATTGATGGTTATTCCTCCTATCAAAAATCAACTTGTTTTCAAAATTATTCAGACTTTCTCACAGTTTTCAGTTCATGGCAATGTCCATATGGGTGACATAAAATTGTTCAGGATAAATTTACTTTGTTTAAGTTAGAATATAAACCAGCACCCATCATAACTCACTCGGTAACTGTTGATAAAGATCTCAATGTAAATACGTATATGTACTCCCAAGAATTGTTACTCAACTCAGGTAATATTAAAACTCCATTTTTATTATCTAATATACACCACTTGGATGATATTCTGCATGTTCTTTCTGAGACCTCAGATGCTTTGTGGGAATATTCAGTTAAAGACCAGTTAAGAGCCACTATCAACCATGCTTACAATATTTTAAACAGCACAGAACTATTCACCGATGAATAGACCCACACTGTCATTAAATTTATTTGTGAGCAACTAAAGCTTGCTATTAGTCAGAAGAACAGACAGAGTTACTCATCAGAAACAATAGTGTTTTGCTCTATGTATACAATCAGTCCACATTCATATAGATTTATTAGGAGCCATGGAGCACTTATTTTACCACACCAAAATACTCTGAAGTCAATATGTAATACATTGATAATCGATCCAGTTCCCGATGAGAGATATAACTTTTTAGTCAATGCAAAAAACCTTTTCAGATTTATAAAACCTGGTGAGGAGTAAGTACATGATTTTAATGATGGATGAAATACACATTCAGCCATATTTAGATTTCAAAGGGGGTAATATTGTTGGAACGTCAATTAATAATACTTCATTAGCTACAACAGCCTATGTGTTTATGATTTCAAGCTTCTACTCCAATTTCAAAGAAGTTGTTCAAATCTGTCCTGTTTCTAAAATTGATCATAATCTATTATACAATATGACAAAAAAACTTATTATTGGATTAGAAGAACTTGGTTATAAAATTTTTTGTGTTGTTGTTGTAAGTGATAATAATGCACTGAATAGTAAAGCGATGGCACATTTTTCTCCAGGTAAAAGCCTTATATCCTACCAACCTTGAAAGACAAAATGTTCACTTAGCTCTCAAGATATTCAACCCATTTGTAATAGATGCAGTATCAAGATTTGGTAAAAACATACAGCACTCCGAAGAGACAGCAAAATTCATAGATATTATATGGAAGTGGTGGAGAATTGTCAATGTAAAAAGTCCATTGAAAGGAAAGCGGTTAAATGACCTTTATGCAGAGCCTATTGTTTGCTCCAACAGTGATTGACAAGGTACATGACAGTAAGCTGACATTCTTGCAAAAAATGCTAGATTGGCTAGAAGAGTGGAATGATCCAGCAAAATTTTCAAAAAGACAAACTAGTCAGACTTACGCTGCACTACATCATACAGTATATGGCTTATTGGAATTAGTAAGGTACTGTAAATCTGAACTGCACAGTAATTATATATTGTTAGGTAAATTTCAAACTGACTCATTGGAAAATAGATTTGGTAAGTATCGTCAACTGGCAGGGGGTCAATATAATATATCAATTCGTCAGTTATATGAGTCTGAGAAAAAGTTACGAACTCAAAGCCTAATGTCATTGAAGTCTCGCTATGGTGATATACAAATAGATAAATTCTGTGAAAATGATGATTTAGAAATAGATGAAATTCCACGCAATTTTAATGATTACCACTTTTTCCGGGAAATTGAAATTTTACAGTCTGATATTGATAGTATAAAGGATGAAATCCCTGTCATCACCTACTTAGCTGGTTACTGTTGTTAGTCCTTATTAAAGAAAAATCACTGCGATCATTGTAAGGAAAATTTTACACACACAGATGATATTGATATAGAAGACAAGCACAATATTATACAGAATTTGAGTAGAGGTGGCTTAAAATTCCCAAAGGATCCAGTTATTAATATTGTCATGCTAAGTTATATAATTTTCAATAAAGTTTTGGAAAGTGACGAGGAATCATTTTTAGAAATCACTGATAAGAGTTGATAATTAACAATCTGAGTGATAATAATCACGACACTTTTTTTCGCGTTGCACAGTCCATTCACCAGATTATGCTATAAAACTAATTGTTATTTGCACAGTCAATACATTTTTGAAAAATTATTGTGCCAAAAGGAACGACAGCTTTGCAAGCAAAGAAACGTAAACTGACTACATTCACATGAGGCCGCAACATCAACATAGCTGTAGATAAATGTTTATTTGTACATATTCAGAATTTACCACTTTAATTTTCGTTATTCCAATTTTTGTTATTTTTGATACTTGCTTTCTGTTTTCTAATTTTTGTTATTATTTTGTGCTGTTATTTTTTTGTTCTAAGAGTTTTTATTAAGTTTTCGTTAATCTTTGTTATGTTTTTTCTGTTGTTTATTTTAGTTTGATTTTATCTGTTTTTCTTATCATTTATCCTACACTTTTCCCTCCTCATCTTCCTTATTCCTTTCCTGGCAAGAGCTTACCTCAGACCTACTCGTTGGTTCTTACTGGACACAACTGTTTTATATAACTTTCAAGTAACATTATATTATACCTCTAATAATAGTAAATTGTCCACATATTCCTGTGAAATTTTGTTGATCGGTTGTGACTAACATGGGGTTATTCATTGAAGAATTTATCATTTTCAGCAACCTCTTATAACATCAACTTATTAATCTAACGTGCACGTAATGTTGGATGAAATATCAGTGAAAATCAGGGTGAAAATAGTTAATAACTACTTTAATTTTTTTCACCAAGTTGCTTTTATATACCAAAAACACTTTTCTGAATTATTTGTTATTTACATCAGGTAGAGTATATTAAATATGCTGCAATAATATATTATTCACTAGCCCTGATGTACGGCACTCCGTGCTTTCGGCCGGTTGGTGACGTCACGCGTCTGTTGTTAGGCCTGGTACTCTCGGTGGTAACGACACACCTCGTCAATAGCCGCAGCTGCTGGAAAAAAGCTAGGCTATTTGTTTAGGGCTAAAAAGTACAAAGCTCCTCACTTTGCACGAGGCCCAGATAAGACCTAGTCTCAAGTACTGCTCACAGGTTTGGGGTGCTGCCGCCTCGACTACGTTATCCATGTTCGATGCTGTTTAGAGGACGGCTGGATTCATCCTCGCATCCTAACCGTGCCGAATTTCGTACATCCAGAACTGGCCAATACGACCGCTCGTTTGTCGTTAGGGTATCGAGATTGTGGAAAAATCTACTTGAGGAGGCTTTTACTAGTCCTGCTAACCTTGGGCAGGTCAAAAATCGGATAAACAAGGTTTCTTTAAGCTCCTTATAGCAACTGCGGTGCTCTGGCATTTAAACTTCTACCTGCGCGGCTGCTTCGGTATAAAAAGATAAATACGGAAGTGAATACGAAAATTTTAGAGGAACATCAGATTTCCCTTGGTACTCCTTTGCGAGTACTCCATATGTATCGTCTGGAGATTTTTATACTGTAGCATCTAGCAGACAGCTTACAGTTTTCACTTTCACGGTGGTCGATTCTGGTAATAGATGACACTTTCTACTGTCCTATGTTGCAAATTCGGTCAAAAAAGCACGAAGAGGCTGGTTACTGGTTCTTAGGGGCAAAATTATTCCTTTCTATATTTTTTGACCCTCCGCTTCAAGATCCTGAATACAAAAATCGTAAAAGTGAAACCAAATGCTATGTCTATGCCTCGCAACGCTGCCAGATTGTAACTTTGAATATATTTTTTACGTTCTGTTGACCATTCCGAAAATATCCTAATAATGAGAGTCGAACATAGCCTCCTCACCACTTTGGACCTTATCCAAACGCAAGTTCTATATATTATACGCCACTGTTTCCAAAGTTTGAGCCGTCGCATCTAGCCTTGCACAAAGCGTATTCAGGGGATGCCTTGTAACAGCTGATCGATTTTTATTTTCATACTTCGACCGAGCTGATGACTTTTAAGTACATTACTCATTTGTTCCAGAGTTGCCCGAGTATCCTCCAACGATAAGCGTGAGCAGGGAACCACTCGACTACGGGGACACCCTTAGAGCAAACTGTTCCTGCTCCCCTTCTCGCCCCAGGGCCACCTTGACGTTTTATCTCAATGATATTATGGTAAGCGCTTTTTATTTACTCGTTCTCTCTGTATTATAGTCCGGTCGAATTGAGCGATTTTCGGTGAGTAACCGACAACATAGTCCAGGGTAAGTTTTTAGTCTGGGCTCGGTCGCTCCCGTTATTACGCATGGTATCTAAAAAAGTGAATCGAAAAAATTGAATCCAACACTACTTGGACATATTTTTATCTATGCAAGGTGATTCATAAATATGTGGTGACCCACAGTCAAACAAGGAAAGAACTACATTTGATTGCAGATCTGGATCGGCACGTGCACTATAAGCAATTTGACATAACATACTATACGGCTTCATTTTCAAATTATTAGGATATTGGGTACCATATCGAAGAAAGCCTGCACTTCCGCAACTGTTATATCTACAGTACTCAATTTTTCGAAATTTCACGATCGCATATTGTCTCCCTACTCAGTTACCTATGCAGGGTGGATAAAAATGCTAAATGATCGAATTTTCAAGATTTTCAAATAGAGCACTGCTTATTTTCACATTGGTTAATTCTCCCTTTTTCTCGAGCTTTCTCTGAAATGCAGCTTATGTTAATTTCTACGACTGGTTTTTGAGTTGCTGCTGCTTTTTGAAGATCCGATATCAAGGTAAATGTCATCATCATATCAAAATAAAAAATATGGCAAAGTCTTCCAAAATAGTTTCGGATTTAGTTAGTAACGCCAGATCGTTAGAATTTGTTATCTAGGGTGTATGATAGTCATTATTTAAATGGGTGATAGAGGGGTTAAAAGATGCAAAAAGGTTCATATAAGATGGGGGTCAAAACGGCATTCTTTAGAGAAAAGCGACTTTAAAGTAAAATAAAATCTGACAACGCCGCAATGCCAGTCGCAAATTACGACGGAACGCATTTTAAAAAAGATGGAGTTTGTTATTTTTGGCTCTTAGGTATTATTTCATTATTTGATAATGTACTCGTTTTGAAAACCCACACTGCACTTTTTTGTTTCTAAAGGTGTTCAGAATGTCGTCCTCTACTTTCCAGACAAGCTTCATTACGACGAATCCAGTTTCTTCTCACTCTAGGTCCTCGAAGTTTATCATTAATTATTTCAGCCGCATTAACATCTTTTTCACGAAGTTGTGCTTCAGTTGTTATTGGATCAGCCCCATAAACCATGCCCTTAAGTTCTCTCCAATACCAGAAATCCATCGGATTGAGGTCAGGAAATCTTGCTGGCCATTTTCGAGGATTAGAAGCATTTCGACCGATCCAGCGATTTGGATAATGTTCATTCAAATACTGAATGACGCCTCTAAAAATGTGTGGCGGTGCCCCGTCATGAAGAAACCACAAATTCTGTCTCCATTGTAATGGCATGTTGTCTAAGGTCTGTTCCAAAGGTCTGGTAGGTTATTGGCCAGAAAGCTAAGGTATCCTTCTCCTGACAACTTTGGGGGTAACTCGAAAGGGCCAATTACCCAATCGTCAAGAATACCCGCTCAAATATTTATTTTAAAACGTTGTTGGAAGTGACCTTTACGAATGGTATGAGGACGTTGGTCTGCGCAGATAGTCTTCTGGTAACAAGGCCTGCACTCGTTGTACACGGTAGGGATAAAGCAAATTTTCCCGTAGGATTCTATGGTATGCGATATTTAAATTTTGTTTCTCCTGCTCTACATTAGCCTGTCTTTCAAGAGTGCGAATATTAGTGGGCTGAATACTTCCTGTATCTCGAAGTCTTTGGTACACTTGCACAAATGTCCTTCTGTCTGGGTGTACCTGTTGGCGAAATCTGTCGCGATAAATTTGTGCTGAAAGATTTGAATTCTGACGAGCTTTACCGTAAACTAACAACATGTCGGCGAACTCTTGATTCGAGAACATTGTAAATAAACTTGAAGACGTACGCGAACAAAAACAAAACAACACGTCCGATGCTATGCAAAACGATAACTAACCACTGTTACCGTTTACGATCGATTGCCGGTTCGATAAGAGTGATGAAAAACCGACGCACTGTTGTCATGTGTGTTTTAAATATTTAATTCAATGAAACTGACTTACTAACTACAAATTCTGGCTTGACTTAGAAAAACTTAAATCCATTTATTTGTTAATTACCCAATTTAAAAACGTTTTAGATTAGATTATAAAAATTAGTAAGATTGTGGTGATTGTGGTCGATATAAGGCACTTAAATTTGTAAACTATAAGGCCATTTAGACAAAAATCTATTGACTTTTGGACCATGGGTCATATGAACTTTTTGACTTGTTTTGACCCCACCTATTACCCATTTCAATAATCACTACCATAACATTTACACCCTGTATAAATTGAATCTAGCCAACCTTACGCAATCAAATCGAAGAATCAAGAAAATAATAATGTCACGACTGTGACGTATGGGGCAAGTTTGCTCTGGCTTTAGCAGACTCGCAGGTGTGGAGGCTCAAAAAAAAATTCAGAGTATATTTACAAAACGCCACGCAATGGAATAGAAGTAAAATGAGGCAGGTACTTACTTTTTTGCCCAGGAAGGTCCAGTTCCACATAGAGAGATTCGCCTTGAGTGATCCCAGGAGAGGAATAATCCCACACGTCGGCCCATCCAGTTTCGCGTTTCATTTAGGAAGTTATCAGAACGCTTTCTCCCAGCAATGGCCTAACACATCCCATTTTCAAGTACATCATCTGTTTTATAATGCGATCTTTGAAATCATTGTTACCTGCCTTAGGATGTATCAGAGGAATATCTGTGGAGATTTAAAAGTCATAAGTATATTGCTAGGACTTCAAGGGGGTTTTACAAATTATTGCTGTTTTTTGTGTCTATGGGACAGTAGGGCAACAAAACGTCACTACAGATTTTGTTTTGAACCTGGTGCTTCAAATACAGGGTCAGTCAGAAAGAACGCATGTTTTTCGAATGGGTACTACATCGAGTGGGCTGGTCCCGTGTCGTTGGGGAAGGGCGTGTTGGATAGTGGTAGAAGTGCCGTTTCAGTTGGCAGGATGGTTTAGAACGTTGAGCATCGTGTGTTCACTGTACGTTGGCACTTTCAAAGTAGCGAGTCTGTCGTTCGAACAAAACGTGAGTTTCGCGTCGTGGGACAGTACCAGACCGTAACACCATTTTGAGATGGGTGGAAGCATTCAACATAACAGGTAATGTGATGAAGAAAAAACCGCCCGGACGAAACCGTACTGTTAGAACCCCCGAACACGTAGACAAAGTGAGAGTTGACACGCTGCAAAGCCCGAATCGTGTCGCCCATTTGCGTACCAGTTCCCTAGGGATCCACGCGTGCCCTGTGTGTCGCACCTTGAAAAAGGATTTAGTGTTCCATCCTTTCAAAATCCAAGTTTGTCAACAACTGTTGTCAGAGGATTATGCACAACGTGTTAATTTTGCACAGCTCATGATTGAATAGTTGGATAACAATGACATGACGTTGTTTATGAGTGATGAAGCACATTTTCATTCACATGGATACGACAATAAACAAAATTATCGATATTGGCCTCCAGTGAACCCCCAAAAGTTGCATTTGCACCCCGAAAGTTACAGTTTGGTGTCCAGTAGGCCCAACGATGATTATTGGCGCCTATTTTTTCGAGGATGAAGACATCGACGTGTCCGTCTCAGAGCAGTGTGGTGCCAACATCTCACACAGCTTCGATGGAACTTCTTCGGCAAAAATTCCCAGAACGTCTCATCTCACATCCTGGCGATATTCCATGGCCCCCTCGCTTCCCGGACCTGTCAACGTGTGATTTTTTTATGGGGCTACCTGAAATCGAAAGTTTACCAAAGCAAGCTCCGGACTCTCGTCGATTTGACGAAGGAAATAAGAAGAGCGGTAACCCAAATTCCTGCACGGATGCTGGCCGACGCAATGGGCCCATTTCGGGAGAGACTTGATTCCTGCATTTCGGCTCAAGGGCGCCATATGGCCGACATAGTTCTTAGAACGTGAATTTTGTTTTACTCAAAAAATGGCATGTATTGCTGAGTATTTTGATATTCTTTCTGACGGACCCTGTATTAATTAAAATATGTTAACCCAAAAAGGTGCTGATACCGCCTCTCCATGTTAAGCCTGGACTAATGAAAAACTTTGTCAAAGCCATGGATAAGGAAGCTCCTAGATGATCTCCGTTTTCAAGAGCAATTAAATGAAGAGGAACTGGAAGCTTGGCCGTGTTTTGTACGAGCAGTAAAAGGATGAAGACTATGAAAACCTCATAGATGTACTGTTGAAAACCTATGAATTACTAAGGTGTCGCACGTCTCTAAAAATACCTTTTTTGCACTCCCATTTGAATTTTTTCCCGGAAAATCTGGGGAGAGAGGTTTCACCAAATCATCAGGACGACGGAAACAAGATACCAGGGACTGTTGGTTCTCAAAAAGGGATCATGCTACAGAACACAAAAGGAAAAAGTGAACGTTTTTGTCGCTGTATCATATATTGTGCAATATATTTTTTATTCACATAACAACCGATCCTCAGTAATGTTTTTGCAAAGATTCCATATCTTTTATATGTTTGTATTAAATAAATATATGAGATTGTGAAAATACGTCGTCGCCTGATAACAAAAAAACTGTACGTTACATTCAAATTTGTTGACCAGTGTTATGCAAACATGTGCACATTTCTCAGTGGATGAAGCTTAGGATATCTATCGGCCTATAGGGCACCTAGGTGGCACGTGTACGACGCCGCAGGGTAGTCACTCGTGGCAATGATAGTATAAATAGTAGTAATAATAATAATTAACGTCTTTTATTTATAGGCAACAGCGTTCACAGACCGTGTGATTTTGTGCTGCTATAAATAATCAAGTTTTACACTGTTTTAAGTCGAATTAAACATATTTGCAAATCAAATTCGCGTTGTTAGAAACTGTTTCGCATAAAATCCGTAAGTTATTTTTTACTTTTTATCAACAAAACAACGATAAACACCTCGTCAACTCGCCGAGTTTTGAACTTTGGACTCCCTTCGCACGGCATTGAATTCTGTGCTGCGTTGCCACGTTCAGCCTGAAGTATTGGAAGGTATTTGAGATGGCTGGTGGATCTATAAAGAAATGTGATGCTTGCAAGAATAATATCTCAAAATCAGTTCTCAGGCTTCATTGTGGCGTTTGTAAACGCTTCTTTCATCTTGAGTGTGAGAAAGTTAGCGAGGTCGATGCAAGGCTTATGGCAGCTGAAAAAAGAGCATGGAAATGCGGCTCCTGCAGAACACCGTTGGCCTCTCCTCTATCAATACTGTCAGGTGTTGCTGGTAGGAGGTCTATCCTCATGTCACAACCGATTAACGATCAATCTGATGTCATTACGGAGCTCAAATCTCTTACTAGACAGCTGCAAGACGAGAACAAAGAATTAATCAGATCTTTTGATTTCTTGAGTAGCCAGTGGGAAGAGGAAAGGAAAAGGTCCAAGGTATTGGAAGAGATGGTTGGAGATTTATCCAAGGAGAACCAAATGCTTAGGAAAGATGTTGATGGATTGAAACTTACTCTTAACAAAGAGGAATCTAAAAGGTTGGTTAATAATTTGTCTATTACCGGTCTTGTTACTGAAAATGGTGATAAAGAGCAAGCAGTGGAGAAAACTTTGGCTTTATTTTCTTTTCTGGATACACCTATCTCTCGGAATGATGTAGCTCATTTTAAAAAAGTTCCAACCAAAAACGGCGTAAAGGCTATAGTTACCTTGAAGCCTGAACATAAAAAGCAGATTCTTACAACTCGTTCCAAAAAAGGGAAACTAACACTTAGGAACACTAAATGTGGTGATGCGGATTCTAGAATTTTCGTCGATGAGGAGCTGACCAAGGAAACGTACCAGTTATTCAAACACTGAAGGCAACTTAAGGGTGTTGGCTACAAATATGTGTGGCATCGAGAGGGGAAGATTCTAGCTCGCAAGAATGATGGCTCTGATATTATTTTCATCCGGAATGTTAATCAAGTAAATGACCTACTTAAGTAGCCTTTTATCTCATTTGCTTTGATTGTTTTTTTATATATATTTTCCACTTGTTGCTTGATTTTTATACTTTATCATGGCTAGTACGAATCTTGAAAATAATTTAAGGATAGGACATATTAATGTACGATCACTGATACCAAGTTTGAACGAAATTAAGTCTTCGATAGATAATTTGAAGTTGGACATAGTAGGAGTAACTGAATCATGGTTAACTGAACAAGTTAGTGAACAGGAAATTAAAATAAACAATTTAAGTTTTATCGCGTTGATCGTGGGTCTCGGGGAGGTGGAATAGGGGTTTATGTTCGATCTGATATTACAGTAGTTGAGATAGATGTAACTGAGGACCAGAGGGGAATTTTTGAGCAGCAATGGCTTATTCTCCAAATTGGCAAAATAAAATTGGGGTTGGGCATCATTTACCGTCCTCCTCGTTTTAATGTTATGACTGCTTTACGCCAACTGGAAGAATCAATAGCTAATTTAATTCCAGTGACAGATGAATTGATTATAATGGGGGATATTAATATTAATCTATTAAGACATACTAACATTACCAATTAGTTTAATAATTATACTTTCAACTTCAAACAAGTTGTAATTAACCCAACTAGGTACTCCCGATACACAGCCAGTTTGATTGATGTCATCATCATGTCCGATGATCATCTCTTAAGTGGCTGTGTCCATCATCAGGACTTGTATCAGCATTCCGATCATCAGCTCATACACTGTTCAATAAATATTAAGATCTCTGCCGTTAGGCCTAGAGTTATTAAATATCGTAACTTTAAACACTTTGACATTTATAGCTTCAAACGAGATCTTATAAACTTCCCTTGGTGGCAGGTTGTAGACTGTGATAATGTTAACCAGAAGACTGCAATTCTCTCAGATATGATATTGACTCTTTTTGATTCTCATGCGCCAATATGTGAGAAAAAAGTTACCAGGCCACCTTCCCCGTGGTTTACTGATGCGTTGCGTGCGATGAAGAATCACCGTAACTATCTTTTCTCTAAATACAAACGTACTAAAAATTTACGGGATTGGGCATCCTACAAAGAAATGAGGAATTTTTTTACGTCAGCTGTTCGACAAGAAAAGAGAGCTTATATTGATTTTGTCAGTCGTACTAAAAAATCCAAAGACATGTGGAAGACACTAGACCAACTTAATATCTATAACAGATCTAAAAAAAATATAGAAATTCCTAACCATCTTAAAAACCCAAATTTAATTAATCAATATTTTATCGACTCGGTGCGACAAATACCTAGCACTGTCGATACGAATACTATTTCTAAATATCTTAATTCCAAATGTACAACCGCAGAATTTGAATTGAAACTCGTTAGTGAAGATGACGTTTTCTGGACAATATCGGAGATTTGGTCAAACGCCTCTGGTGCAGACGGAATTAGCCTTGACATGGTGAGGTTGTGTTGTCCAACCATCTTACCCGTGCTGGTTAACCTATTTAATTCCTGCATACAAAAGGGCATCTTTCCTGCCCAATGGAGAACGGCTGTGGTCCTGCCGCTGCCTAAAATTAGCAGTCCTAAGGATGTATCTGATTTGCGACCAATTAGTATACTACCAGTGCTGTCTAAAGTATTTGAAAAGCTTATTTATAGGCAAATCATTACTTATTTCACAGATATTAATTTATTACCCAAGTTGCAGTCTGGATTCCGTAAAGGGTTTGGTACTACCACGGCTCTGTTGAAGGTTCTAGATGACATTCTTTTGGCTGCGGACAGGGGTGAAACTTCGGCATTGGTGTTGTTGGACTTTAGCAAGGCCTTCGATACCCTGAACCATGCATTGCTGTGTGCAAAACTTTTGTACTATGGATTTAAACTTAAGACTATGCAACTTATTCGTAGTTATTTGGATGAAAGATCGCAGTCGGTCTCAATTGGTGGGCTTAAATCAAAACCCTTGAACGTGGATAGAGGAGTTCCTCAGGGATCACTTTTGGGTCCTTTATTTTTTATCATCTTTACTGCTGATATGTCGAAGTGCTTTGGTGACATAAACAATCATAGATACGCTGACGATACACAGATTCAGCTGTCTTTTGTTAAGTCGGACGCAATTCAAGCGGCTAGGAGGCTAAACGAGTGTTTGGATTCAGTTTTTAAATACTCTTTTAATCATGGCTTGAAATTTAATCCTAATAAATCAGCCATAATCTACTTTGGGCCAGCTAAAGATTGGGCGTCTGTAAACTTGGTGATAGCAATGGATGGTGTGGCAATACCGGTTGTTGAGGAATATAAAAATTTGGGCGTCATCTTTGATAACAAGCTTATATTCCGAAGTCATGTGTCTAGGCTTCTACAAAAGGCCTATTTTAACCTTCGCAATATTTACAAAAGTAAAGGTATTCTTAGTTTTAAGTTAAAAAAGGTTCTCTGCGAAGCACTGGTCTTGTGTCACCTTAACTATTGCAACTTTGTGTATGGTCCTTGCTTAGATGTTTTTACTAAGGATAAACTCAAAAAAGTGCAGAATTCTTGCATACGACTTATTTACCAGCTTAGACGTCACGATCATGTCAGTCATAAACTTTCCGAACTGAAATGGTTGAATGTTTCCAATCGAGAAAGCTGCATTTTGCTTGCTTTCTTCATAAATTGATTAAAAGTAAAAGCCCTCCATATCTGTTTGAAAAATTAACTCGTAGAAATCTGATTCACTCTCGTGCAACACGCTTTAATGTACTTTATGAAATACCTAAAATAACTAAAACCATGACTCAAAGCTCATTTTCCTATACATCAGTCAAACTTCTAAACCAATACAATATAGGTCAATTTGAAGATATGTCTCCTAATATGTTCAAACGAAAACTGAAACAACTGCTTCTGTGAAGTATAAGTTGTTTATTATTGCTTATTTTCTTTGTATACGTACATCTGTTGTTATTATTGTTCATTGTTGTTATGTAATATTCTAAAATTAATGTAATGTAAAACTTATTTCTTGTCATATTACTTTACTTTTTGGCTTGTTGTGACTTTTTACATGCTCGGTTAAGTTAACAGCATAGCTGGCCTTCGCCGAGTTTAAAATAAAGGCGTTTTTATTTATTTATTTATTTATTTTATGAATCTCTTGTCAGCATGTAGAGTATACGCTAGCACCGCTTACGTCTATCGGCCCAACGCAGCTCTGCGAGTGCTAGACTACCATTTGAGGCACTACTACTACGGTATAGATGAAACACCTGTGCTGCCCTATGTTCCAGGGGATATTAAGGCCGCTACGGAGAACGAGAAATGTCGAATTTACTTGAGTTACTCTTTTTCCACGGTCGAGCTGGTGCAGGAGAATAAGCGTGACTTGGTCCCCCTCGACCACGAACAGAAGGCGATGTCCGTTATTGAATTTTTGGCTCCGGCCGAAGTGAACATCGTCCCGAAGGAGGAGGAAAAACGGACCAAATATCACCAGCTACTCAATCGACTTCACAGGCTCTGGCCACGCCACATTCTTAGTCTGCTTGTCATGGTCATTGGATTCTTGGATGGGATGAGGAATACACTGCTATCTCCAATTGAATCCATATCTTAGCCGGAAGAATGCAGAAAGCGCTCATCTTCGGTTCCCTCCATCTACTTAGGGTACACGATTTGTGGAGTTGCTTACCTCACGGTGAGAGGAGTGGCTAGTTTTTAATGGAACAGCAGTTTGGTGTGTCGGAGCCCAGGCTACCTATTTTACTTTTCTATCAACTTTTTTTATTTCTAACAACGTTACAGGGGGCGAGATTAAGATACTACAGGGTGGCCGATAAATAATTGAGTGTTTTGTATCTTGAAAATTTGTGAAATGAAATAAAATACGTCCATTTTTTTCTTCTTAGTGTTTTATTTAAACTTATAAATTATGTATGAAAAATAATATCAGACAAATGTCCGCCTCTAGAAGCTGCACAAAGCTGAGCCTTTTTTACTAAATTTGCCATCACTTTTTGGCAGGTTTCGGGAGGAATATTCTCAATCGTTTCTCTAATATTGTTCTTTAGCTGTTTTACAGTATTTGTTTTTTTTATACTCCAACTACCACGAAGGCCTAGGGCCTAAGCACCCATTGTGTACCGTGGGGCAGGTTTGTTATTATTATTATTTCTTAAAAAAGTCAGGAGTCGTTAAATCCGCTGACCTTGTGGCCAGTTGACATCACCAAATTGAGAAACTAGACGTCCCGGAAATATTGTTCGCAAAAGATTCATTGTTTCCCTAACTGTTTGACAAGTTGCTCCGTTCTGCTAGAACCACACGTTTTGCAGGTATAATTGTTGGATTTGGGGAGCCAGATAGTTCTGCACAGCGTCTTCAAAGAAGTAATGTCCCATGATACCTCCGTACCAAACACCGCACCAAACTGTGACTAGACGAGGATGTCGAGGTCGTTGATGGACGACACGAGGGTTCTCTAATGCCTAAATACGACAATTCTGCTTACTAACAAAATCCGTTCATATTGAAGTGAGCTTCATCGTTCATTATCAGTTGTCGGTAAAAATCGTTATCTTAGCTATTAAGCGCAGTATTGCATGACTGTATTGTCGGCGACTTTCATGGTCACTAGGCTGAAGTTCTTGTTTTAACTGGATTTTATATGGCCGCAAATGCGGTTCTTTTCTTAAAATTGTGTATAGTGACGTGCGACGAACACCCACTTCTTGAGAACGATGTCTGTTAGACGTCTCAGGGCGCTCCACTACACTTTCACGATATTTTCCGGAGTACGAACGGTTCGAACACAGCCCGACCTTGGCAAGTCTTTAACTTCACTAGTTTGTTTAAATTTCCGCACCAACTCACTAATGGTGTTGACACTGGGCACATTATTCCGACCGAAATCTTGTCGTAGCTTCCGAATCGTTGCAACAATCGACAAGTTATTTAAGTTAAACGTTTTAAAAATATGGACGCATTGTGGGACAGCGTAGGGCTCCATGATGAATTGGACACATGTGCTTTAAACAACTACTATGGCGCCACCTACTGAAATGCGTTCATCAAAAATGACGCACAATTTAAGTCAGTCAGTTACATATTGGCCACCCTGCATATCTAACCTACCACGTAACCCTCTTAAAACAAAGATGTATAAAAACAGAAAAAAACTTAAAAATCAATATATGAACATAATATCGACATTAAATAAGCATAATCAATGTAAAGCCTTAAAGGAA